TCAAGGCTCTTTTGATGTCCCACGCACTCCCATATGCCTCTGAGTGACACTACTGCCGATACTGATCCGAGTAGCCTTGCCTGCGCCGTTACACCATAGTGAGTAACTCTTCGAGAGTGGCTCACTCTGCCAAGGCGTGAGCGCTCACTCGGCTCACCGTGAGCTGCGTGAGCCATCACATGACTTCTCGCGCTAGAGCTCACTGTGCTAAGCGTGAGCTGGTCACGTGACTCTGTATCTACCAGTGTAGGGTTTCGGCTGCGCCGTAACCTGATCCGATCCAGGCTTCTGATTGGCTCGGGGATCTGGATCGTAACATAATTATACTCTACTATATAAGAAAAGAACTAGTACTCCTAGTTTTTAGTAGAAGATAATAACCTATTATATAGTATAAAAAATCTAGATAGTTTACTTACTGTCTATTGCAGGAAGTATAGTATTATAAGTTTAAAGTACCTAGTAAACTTACTTAATTTAAACTCTATTAAAAGCCTATAGAATGTTATTAAAGAGATAGTAAAACTAAGACTTTATAAGATATTTTTAATTAAAGAGCTAAAGGCTGCCTTATAAGAAGAGTAAGTAAAAATTGATTAAGAAACTATTTAGAAAAGGATAGATAAAATACCTAAGAGGTATAGGCAGGTATTTTAGTATCCTTAGGTTTAATACAAGGGTTAGGTCTAGTAAGCTAGAAAAATAAGAAAAAATTACTTGTTACTGTAAATAGTTATCTTAAGAACCTTAATTTTTAATTTAAATTAATTTAGATATATAGTGCAGCTATGCAATTTAATTTACTATAGGAAGTACTAGGAAACTAACATTTTAATAAGGCGATTAGTTACTAGAAGTGTCTTATTTTTTTCTGCTAGGGGGTGCTTTTTACATAGAATAATGCAAGTGCAATTATTTGTTAGAACAACAAGCTTAGGGAAAAGTAGGAGCGTATTGTAGAGTTTTAGTAAAAGTAAGGTAAAATTTATATTGCTTAGTGCAAATATGCTACGGAAGCGCGAAGCAACTTAGCATGAACCAGGCTGTCACGTGCTGTCACATTGTTACAGTATAGCTAGTACTACTTTCAACACTAATTTATTAATATATATTTTCAGAGAGAGGAAAATTATAACATGTATAAGAAAAATATTCCGTAGATAAAAATAATAGAAACCCAATTCCGCCTGACTCTAACAGCTACGTAGAAACAAGAGAAAACGCCTTCTCGGCAAGTGATTGGGCCGTCATGGCATGCCCCATGAAATCCGAAGTAGGAATATCGGCTCCCAACTGCTTGTAGCACCAATTCCGGAGATCAGTGCCAATCATACTGTCCATACCATAGCTCGAAAGCGGCTTCAATGGATCGATATCGTCGACATCGAGATTGAAGGTCTTTGCGAATTTGCCAATAACCTGCTCCAAAACGCCTGGTAGATCAGCAATCTGTTTTGTGTTTGTAGTCCTAGCGCCGCCCTGGCCAGCATTCATAATTGCATTGAGAAGGGGGCCAACGCGAGGCTGCTGCCAGAAGCGAAAGTCGTTGATGTCAATGTCGGCGGAAAGCTTGCAGGGCTCAAGCCCAGAGACAAGGAAGCACGTGGCATCTTGGTCAAACAGCCATTTGGACGCTGGTTGAGGACCCATGCCTGCTTCTATCAGGCGCAAAAAGTCTTTCTCGTCAATACCGTGAATGCCTGAGCGAGCAATACCTTGCTCAATGGTCAGACTCTGGCTGACGAAACCAACTTCCAAGACCATGCTAAGCGCGATAGTAGTGGCGGGAAGGCCTTGACGACGTCGGAAACGAGCAAAAAAGTCCAGGAATGTGTTTGCCGCACAGTAGTTACCCTGTGTTGGAGCACCAGTCATGGCAGAGATAGAGCTGACCATGATGAAGAAGTCCAGAGGCTGGTCGAGAAGGACATTGTGTAGGTGCCAAGTACCAGCAACTTTAGGGTCGATGGCAACATTCCAGCTGTTGATATCGTAGCTGGCAAATAGACGGTCCTGTTTTGGCATGACATTAGCTAAACTTCAAAATAATGAGTGTATCGCACGATTCGGGGAACCCTACATCAAGAGCCATGACACCTTGAACAACACCGGCAATCGGCACCTTGGCTGCCCGCACTGCACGGATGACATCTTCCTTTATGCTCACATCTCCCTTGATGACCTCGACGTCAACACCTTCACGGCGCAGCCGATTCACCATAGAGGCAGCTTCGGGCTTTTCGCTACCCGATCGTCCAAGGAAAATCAAATGGCGAGCACCCTTCTGGACCATATCCCTGGCCAGACAACGTCCAAGGCCACCCAAACAACCGACCAGAAGATAAGAAACGTCTCCACGGTAGGAAACAGTCTGGGGAATAGAAAGGACCTATTCAGAAAGATAAGCACATATACTTCGCAATGGGGTATTTGCGATACAACAACTTACCTCAGGCTCATCGTTCTCTTCAAATTTGACCACAACCTTGCCTATGCGCTTGGAATTATTGAATTGGGAAAATGCCTTGGTGACCTGTGATGCTGGATATACTGAAGCTGGAGTGAGCGGCTTGATCTTGCCATCACGGAGATAGCCCATGACCTCCTTCATCACTTCGACGGCAACATCAGGCCTCTCGTCAGCAACAACACCAAAGTCGAAGGCGGAGAAACTAGCACAGCGCTTAAAGATATTCATGTCGAGATCACCATAGTCGAGGATATCGGTCAGACCGATTTCGATGTGGCGACCTTGTGTCGCCATGCAAGACCAGGTGGCATGAAGCTGCTCACGGACGAGGGAATTCAAAGCAACCTCAACACCACGCCCATTCGTCGCCTTCATAATACCATCGGCAAATGAAGTGTCGCGTGAGTTGAAAATTTGGCTTGACTTGAGGCCAAAGTTATCTTGGAGAAACGTCCTCTTCTCTTCGGTACCGACGGTTACAAAGATTCTGGCACCAACCATCTGTGCAATTTGAATGGCGGCAAGACCGACACCACCAGTCCCAGAGTGGATAAGTACAGACTGGTTCCAATTTGTTAGTGAAAACCATGAGGGATTTTACTCAAAACTTACCTCGCCCTTCCTCAGACGACCGAGATGAAGAAGACCATAGACGGCAGTGGAGAATGCAAGAGGCATAGTAGCAATTTCTTCAAAGCGGTCATTGTCAGAAATCTTGTGTAAAAATCTAGCCTGGAATGTCTCAAAGTTCTGGAACAGGCCCTTTGCCATCCAGCAGACTCGATCGCCAACCTTGACGTTCGTCACATTGGAGCCTATACGGCGGACAACGCCAGAGCCTTCGTGACTGAACGACAAGGCATTGAAGCTTCCACGAAAAGTTGCGACTTCTTTCATGTTGAGACCGATAGCCATGACCTCCACTTCGGCAGCGTCAGGTTCGATGGCACTATCCCGCAGCACTGACTGGAAATGAAGAGAATCGAGAAGACCTGGTCGTTCAATCTTCAGACAAAGCTTCTCGCCGGCAGTATACTGATGTTTGACAGCCTTCCTGTTCAACAGAGCAGAGAAGTTCTCGTCATGAGCGCGGTCGTTGGACAGACGGCTGATGTAGAAGACGCCGTTCTTAACAAGGTATTCGCGCTCAATTGCGTTGCTGTTATCAAGGGATTTGAGAACCGTCTGAATTTGACCGGCAAGAGGAAGCGGCATTGTATGATCAACGTCCAAGAAGACAAAGTCCAGAGTTGGATACTCTGACTGCAGGCATCTTCCAAGTCCCATAACGATGGCGGCATTAGGATCGGTGCCGACCAGCAAGTCGCCATGAGTAACCCATACAATAGTCTTCGCATGCTCGGCAATGCGCTGCAGGCTCTTCAGCTCTGCGTCAGTCATGGACTGGTTGAACAAGCTACCTTCAGCCTCAGCAACAACAACAACGATTTGATTATCGCCAAGGTCAGCCTCTCTGAGAGAAGCCGATTTGACATTGTAGCCGCATTTGGCGAGTTCTTTAGTAACAGTCTTGCCAATCGCCACACCGGGTGTGCGAGTGACGAGTATAAGACTGTCAACGTGACTCGTATGTTGTAGCCCAAGAGGCTGGGTAAGAGCTACCCATGAATTATCTTTTTCAAAAGACACAAAGATATTCAGCCCCTGAGAATAGAGCGCAGCGGACCATTCAGACTTCAACATAGCATCTCCGTGTAAGAGAACGCGCCCCCCAGCTTGCAACATGGATGCAGTCTTAGAAAGTACCTCAGAGGCATTACCCTTGGTTTCCAGGACGACAAGATCGAATTGGGTATTTTCAAGAGTGGGGCCATCCATAGGGAACTCGCTCACCACAGCTTTAGTAGACGCTGCAGCCTGAAAGAATGGCAACTCCTCTTCCGACCCAACCAGCGCAAAAATCGACTTGAATCGTCTCATAGATGTACCGGCTTCCAAAACAGAATACAAAAACTCAAGGTTCTTGATGCCGGATAGAAGAATATCCATCGACGGATATTTGTGGACCAGAATGTCAATGAGGGAGTTGAAGTGTGACGAGTCGTATCGCATCTGTGCTTCAAAGAAAGCGGAAAGTTCATCTCCAGAGGTCTTCTCAATGTCAGGCTTCCATAGGCACCGAAGGTACGGGTGGCGATCCTCCTTGATTTCAGCGTTTAGATCCTCCGCGTATACAATATTGTTGATCTTCTTGGCCTCGAAGACAGGCTTTCCATCCACGGTAAGCTGGCACGATCCCTCCAGGGCTCGAAGACTACTCAAATTGCCTTGCGCAAGGATCTTGCCAGATGCAGCAGCGAGAGCTGGAATATCTTCGCCATTCATCGACCAGATGGACACGTCTTCCATGCTTACAGGGACGAATGACCTATTCAGGTTCCTCAAAGATCCCTTATGAGCGGCAATCAATATTGCCTGAACACAGGTGTCCATTGTTGTAGGGTGTATAATATAGGGCGAATCCAGGGGATCAACACCCTCAGCCAGCATGGGAGTGTTAGCAACGCACTGTGGTAAAGAGGGGTCTGTCTTAATGTTGGTGAGCCCGGCAAATGCAGGACCGTAATTCAAGGAGATCTTTTTGAAACCATTGTACCACGTGTGAGAAGTCTTCGGCTCTTCCAAGTCCTTCTCATTGAATATCGGCTCGATATCGACTACAGCCTCCCGTTGTGCGGTTCCGACACAGTGTTCGGTCCAGATTCCTTGGTTGTAGGACGCGATAGTGAAGCTGGCCTGATTCTTGGATGAAATAGAGTCAGAGATCTTCTTGAAATGTACGCTAGTGAGAATTTCGACTGGTGTGCCCGCGGGTGGGAGATTTAAGGCAGATTTGATCGTAATGTGGGGGAAGAAATAGCGAAAAGGCCCCTTCATTGGCGCCCTGCCGTGATAGTACTCCCGCACAGCTTCGAGAGCTATAGCCAAGTATCCCGTAGCTGGCAGAACGGGTTGAGAGCCAAGCTTGTGATCTTCCAGCCAGGGGAAATTCTTGATGTCTAAGAGATTGCGCCATTGCCTTTGGCTGTCCATGGCACCTGGGAGAATGCTGCCAAGAAGATCGTGATGCGGGAAAACTCTGTGTCGGACCTCATTGTTTGGACGATTCTCCAGACGCATATTTCGCGTATCCGAGTAGTTCCAAGGGTATCTGGGTAAGTCGACGATTGGCCTGCCATACTTGATCTTGATGTTGTCACCGCGTCGCTCTTCAATCGCATTCACCCGACCGAGGTCAACGGGGTAGCCTTTGATAAACAGAGCACCCGCAAGAGTAAGAAGTCGAGTGACTGAGCTCTCGCCACGAACCAAAGTCGCAGAGTAGTCAAGATCTTTGGAGGAACGTCCTAGTTCATCACGAATCTGACGCAAAGGTCCAGCCAAAGCCGAATGGGGTCCAATCTCAACAGTCATGTTTATGGCAAGGTCTTCCATGGATAGCATCGTGTTTACAGCCGTGGTGAATTTGACTGGGGACTCTAGATTATCTCTCCAGTAAGATGCGTCGGGTCTGAAGGAGGCGTCCTTGAGTTTTCCTGTTACCGAAGAGATGAATGCCGCGCGTCGCCTTTGTTCAGGATTTTTGGATTGTGATAGACGAAGAATGGCTTGGTGAGCACGCTCTTCGTAAGAATTTCCGACCTGCTTCATGTGGTGCGAGTGGTAAGCCCGACCGCCAGTCTTCACTTCACGCACAAAAATCTTGGCCTCATCCAGTGCGGCCTTGACGCTGGCAATGGGCCCAGCATCTCCGCTCAGCGTTACACTACCAGGCGAGTTGTAGCAAGCAATGAGAACACCGGGTACAAGGAATGGCTGAACTTCCTCAGGCCCAGCTCCAACAGCTAGCATGGCGCCTTGTGACTCCAACTTGCCGACAGCCCAACCACGATAGTAGGCAAAGATGATTGCCTCCTCTGCTGTCAAGAGTCCAGAAGCATATGCAGAGCCAATCTCGCCAGAGGAGTGACCTACACAGGCCTGGGGAACTATATTCCAAGAGAGGAGGAGGTCGACCAAGGCAATCTGAACGGCAGTGCACAGGGGTTGGGAAAGCTCTACATTATGGATCTGACTGGTCGACGCAGGTGCCATAAGAGCTCCCTCAATTGTCCATGAAGGGCTATCTTCGCCCAGGCTGGCGAGTACCGCATCCAGGGTGCGGATTGTGGAGATGTAGGAAGGAAACTGGAGCATGAGTTCCTTGCCCATCTGCGGAGTCTGAGCCCCTTGACCCGTGAAAATAAAGGCAAGCTTGGCTCCATTACCACGCTTGCCAAAGACAATCTCCGACTCTTCCAAATCATTGACTGGGGCTTCTCGACTGACGACGGCATAAGCGCGGTTGAAGAAGCGGGAGCGACGTTCGCTTAGGGTGTAGGCCAGGTCTGCAATATCGTATTGCTCGACCACCTCTCTGATGTTCGCTAGAGAATTCTTCAGGGTGGGGAAGTCGTGGGCAGAAAAAGGAATAAGGAACTCTTCACGCTGCATCGATTCCACGCTGCTGCCGTTGAAACCAATAATATCCCTATCACCAGGATTGGAAGACGTCTTTGCATTCTTCTTAACAAACGACTGATATCCAGGGAGAACCGAGTCGCAGGCATCAATGATAATGTGAGCATTTGCTCCTCCATAGCCGAATGAATTCACACTGGCTCGGCGATTTGGATATTTCTCTGGCCAGGCGATGTTGTCGCGGACGACCTGAAGCCTGCCACCACGGAAATCAATTTTTGGGTTGTAAGAAGTGATGCCAATGGTCGCAGGAATTGTCTTGTTCTCTAGGGCCATGACAACTTTGATAATACTAGCCATGGCACTGGAGGCCTCGCCGTGGCCGATGTTGGTCTTGACTGAACCTAATAGCAGCGAGTCTCTATCTGTGTTATCCGGGAGGAAGACTTTGGAAATTGCCGATGTCTCAATGGGATCGCCGACCGCGGTACCGGTACCGTGAGATTCGAAGTAGGATGTATCGGCAAAGTCGAGGTTTCCAGCAAATCGATAGGCTTCGCGTATCACCAGCTCCTGGCCTTTGGCACTCGGCTGAGTAATTCCACTGGTCTTGCCATTGGCGTTCGCCGCAGTACCTCTGATCACAGCCCTAATGGGATCCCCATCGCGAACAGCATCAGAAAGCCTCTTCAAGTAGAGCGCGCCAATGCCCTCTGCGCGGCCGTATCCGTCGGCATCGGCGCTGAAAGTATGACAGGTAGAAGTGGGCGACAAGACACCCATCTTGTCAGTTCCCATCTGTACCTCAATCGCTAGGATGAGATTTGTCCCACCTACAACAGCAGCGTCAATCTCGCCGGTCTGCAGTGATCTACAGGCAACGTGAACGGCGTACAGAGATGACGAGCAAGCAGTGTCAAGTGTCATGCTGGAATAGTTTAGTATCATGCTTCCGGGGCGTACAATAGGCATGCACTGACCTAGGTCCAAGCAGGTTGAACAGATAACTCACGCGATTACTCAAAATCGTCGCCCCAGCACCCGTCATAGAATAGGGCTTCGGGTAATCGTGATCTCTCGTGTTCATCAAACCGTAATCCCATGTGAAGTTTCCGACATAGCAGCCTGTATTAGATCCAGAGACTTGCTCCAGCGTAATTCCACCCGTCTCGAATGCCTCAAAAACACATTCCAGAAGTTTCCTCTGCTGAGGATCCATTGCCGCGGCTTCGGCTCGTGTAAGACCGAAGAAGGCTGGGTCAAAATCGAATACGGTGTCGGAAATGAAATATCCTCCCGCAGGACCCAATGATCCAATTCTTGCCTTCTTAGAGTGAAACCCATCAATGTTGAACCTTGATATGGGTGGCTTGGAAAGAGCCGACTTCTTCTTCATGAGAAATTCCCAAAACTCGTTTGGGGAGTCGGATTCTCCTGGAAAGCGGCATCCTATGTGACTGGTCAGCAGGGAAAAGAAACAGACATTCAGACGTTATGCCTTACCCATGCCAACAATGGCAATCGGTTCTGGTCCGGACATGATAAATATTAACAGTGCGTATGAGAAGAGTGAATTGGTTGAGAGGTGAGGACCATCAGTTAGTGTTAAGGAAAGAATGGTATATATGATGGGAGTGGTGATGGGATGTTGACGCAAAATAACGCTTTCGTTTAGTATCAAAAAAAGAACGAGGTATTGACTCTATGCAAAGCTCTCACTGATCTATACCGGAACCCGACCCAGTACTGTCATTGAGACGAAATGGTCATACAAAGGGCCGTTTTCACAAACCAGGCCTGGAATAAGGCCGGCTACGGAGGCCGATAGCCTGATTCACTGACAAAACTATTTCGCCGAGGTTTGAAAACCAAAAACTAAGGGTTTAACCAGCACTAACGACGCCACCCTCTTAACCTACTCCTATAATATGAGGGTATTCCACGAAGCAGAAGCTCGGAGAAATTCGGTGCACGGACGCCTGAGCGAGCGCTCAGTAGCCCGTACGCAGAGCCATGACGGCCAACGGCAAAACGTCGGAAAGATGGCTAAAGGGGCACAAAACACAGTAAGGCAAAATTGCTATTAAAGGCAAATTAATTAATTAGTTTTATCCTTACTATTAGGGCTCTATATTATATATTGTGTATTATTAATTATCTAATATTCTTATAGAAAAAATATTTAAAGGCTTATTTAATATATAGCTACTACTAGATAATATAGAAAGAATCTTAAGTAGTATAAAGCTAAGTATAATGCTATATATAATTTAATTTAGATAATATAAGTATATAGAATCATATAAATATAAGGTTATAATTCTACTTTTATAGAACTATATATATAAAGGAGCTAACCCTAAAGGTAGTTACTAGAATTAAGAATTAGATAAATTTAATAAAGGTTATAGAAAGGCTATAGATTAGATTATATATATATAAGAGCCTTATAGGGCCTCTTCTGCTAGGCATATAGCAGAGGGTTTTCTAAGTATATACTAGTAGTATTCTACTTTAGTTCTAGCAAAAGCTTTTTACCTAAGATATATAAAAAAGCTTTAGCCTATTATATTACTTTTTTCTTTTATTTATAAGTAGAAAATATCTTAAGTTTTCTATAAGTAGTCTATAGTCTTTCTACTTATACTTTTACTATTACTATAAGTTATTATACTATACTACCAAGTAGCCTAAAATTTCTTAGTATAACTATCTTATTTTTTTTAACCTTAATTTTTATTATTATTAGATAGTAAACTACTTAGGTTTACTTAGCTCTAAATTAAAAGATACTTCTATAACTTTTCAATATATTATAGTATAGTATCTAAGTTTACTATAGTTTTTATAGTATCATATACTAAATTAAGCTTTTATATATTAAAGTTTAATATACCTTAGTTTATTATTAAAAAAGTATATAAAATAAAGTATAAATAATTATATTCTAAGTCTAATCTACTATATATAAAATAAAAAAAATTTACTAGCTTTTAAGTCTAGTAAAGTAAAAGAACTATATACTTAAGGTATTAGGGTATTATATAACTTACTCTATTCTTTATTAACTTATCTAAATTTAGATAAAGCTTAAAGTACTCTATATTATAATATTTTTTTTATACTATACTTACTTTAAGTATATTAGTATAACTTGGCTTATAGTATTATATACTATATTAAACTATTTTAATCTAGTACTTTAACTAGCCTAATAGAGCCTAGTATAACTTATAACCTTAGTAGCCTAGTACTCTATATATATTTTAGAATTTTTTACTTTCTTTAAAATATAATATTCTAAGACTATTTAACTAGGTAAGTATTACTTCTATATAGCTGCTATAGCTTCTATAGCTTTTTATAGCTATAATTATTTAAATATTTACTAACTAATTACTTATATATATAGTTTTACTTTATTTTATTACTTTTTATAACTATTTTAGCTTATATATACTACTAAAGCTATCTATTCTCTAAACTTAAGCTTCTACTTTATAATAATAATACTTCTATATAACTATAAAGTCCTATTTAGCTCTATTTAGTACTAACTATTACTAACTTATACTATTAGTAATAGTTTAAGCTATTATTTCTTCTTTAGTATTAACTTTTATAAACTAGGTCTAGTTTTATATATTTAGTACTATTTTTTCTATAATTAGTCTAGATTATAATATTATATACTATTTACTACTATAATACTTAAAGCTAATACTCTTCTAGTTTATACTAAAAAAATAGAGTTACTTTTATACTTAACTATTTTTACTACTTCTATTTAATAAGTAAGGAGAATAATATAAACTTACTATATTACTTTATAACTAATAAGCTTTTTAAGAAAAAAAAATTTTTAAGTACTAACTTTTAAAAGTATTTAAAGTACTAGAAAGCTAATATTTTTTACTTAGCTATAAGTAAGCTAAATTAGTATAGTTTAGTATAGTTTACTAATAATATAGTAGCTTTTTTTAGACTTTAAAAAAAAGTATACTTAGTTAAACTACTTTTACTAAAAATACTTAGCTAAGTCTAGTCCTAAAAAGTTAGAAACTTAAAAAGCTATTACTAAGCTTACTTATAATATAGTATATATAGCTATTAAGTAAGTATTTATTTAAAGTTTTTTTAGTATAGTTTAGCTAACTCTAAACTAGATATAATAAAGCTAAAGCTACTTAGTTTTAAAGTTAAAGTAGTACTTTTAATATTTCTAACTACTATATATAGAGTAAAGTACTATTTAATTATTATTTTTATAGTAAAAATACTAAAGCTAATTTAGCTAAAGTAAAGTACTTTTTAGTATAGCTTAAAATAATATTAACTATTTTAAAGTATATCTAAACTAAAAAAAGTAGTAATAACTAATTTAAAATATAAAGCTACTTCTAAGCTCTAGTTTTTCTAGTCTAGTCTACTTATTACTTAGTTATCGAGTTCTAGTACTACTATTACCTAGTTTTTTACTTTTAGTACTACTAGTTACTAGCTTACTTATAATAAACTTAATATATTATAGTTTAGTACTAATATTTTTGATAACTAAAATTTAGTTACTTTAAATATAAATAAAAAAAACTTAGTTTAGCTTTTTTTAACTACCTACTTTTTACTTTATAAATAAACTAATACTACTAATATTCAAAAAAAAATACTTTTACTACTAAAATTAACTAAGCTAATATAAAAAAAAAGTTATAAAAAAAATCTTTTAGTTAGAAAAAAATAAAAGATACTATTTTAGTATATTCTACCCAGTATTTTTCTTTTATAAGTAATTGAATTTTTAGTTTAATTTAAGATAACTTAAAAAAAACTAAGAAAATCTATAAAATCTTTTTTAAGTTAAACTTTACTAAACTATACTTTTCTAAGTTAATTTAGCTTAGTAAAAGTATAAAGTTAATAAATAAGTAGGTTTCTACTTGCTTTAAATACTTTAAAAACTAAAAAGTAAAAGCTACTAATAAGAAAATTTATTAGCTTAAGAATAGTAAAAAGTAAATTAGTTACTATAAATTAGTACTATTTAGTATAAATTATAGTTTAAGTAAATAAGTACTAGTTTTTATAAAAGGTTTTAGTATAATTTATACTATTCTAGTACTATTATACTTTCAAGTTATAATATATGTTAAGTTTCATTAATACTTTAACTAAAAAATATTTTTTTCTATAAAACTTTACTAGACTAATGATACTATGAAACTTTTACTATATAAAATAGTTATTTTTTAAAACTTATGAAAAAAAACGTCTACTAAAAATTAAATTAGTATAAATAAAAAAAAGTATATTTAAATTAGTTTATATTAGTATAGAGTAGTTAAGCTTAGACTACTAACTTATAAGTAAGTATATAGACTAGTTATAAGTTTAAAGGTTTTAGTTATTTTAAA